TTTTGAAATATGAGGCATTCTGGATGTTAATTTGATTAGAGATGCTTTCTCGATCATTAAATCCTGTATCCTTACTTTTTTCTCGCATTATTTTCCCTGAGGTTCACTTTTAACATTTATTTGAGTTTATGTAGCAAAAACAGTACAAATTCATTTTTGCATGACCATTTTCACACCTCTCTTTATTCTTTAGAATTAAACAGGCTACTTGTTACTGTGCCTTTAAGATCACTGTTCTGATTGGCAGTCCTGTATTGTGCCTCACTCAGAAAGCAGACTAAAACACTCCTTATAACTTCAGTGTGAATAGGTGGAGTTAAACTTCTATATAGACTGAGTAGACAGAAATATGTGAATGTGTTGGTTTTTGTGACATCACAGAAACAGTAAATTCTTTTCAGTCTTTTCTTTACAGTAAATTCAGCTTAGTTTCCATATATGGACTGCATGGACTGAATATTGGACTGAAATTTTGACAGTGTTGTATGTCCTACATCGAACTACATCAACTTAAAAAAATTAAAGTAAAGAGTAAAACTCTCAATGATATAGGTCCTTTAATGAATCGTCTACACCTCTATTCATCATTCTAGATACATCTTAAACTTTCTTAATTTTTATTTACAGCTATCTAGTGTCCTACTAATTATCTGAAAGCTGTGAAATTGAGCAGGGCTAGCATTGCATATGTATATCTGCAACCAAATTGGTTTTATTTTCACATATATATTTATATAACAGTGATTCCAAACCTTACAAAGGGAGCAAATATCAAAAGAATTTCATTTTTTTTTGTCTTCTAACCAGTAATCAGCTGGAAAAGAGGTAGAACAGAAAAAAAACTAAATAAAAATGTTCTATGAAAATGAACCTGGATGCAATAAGGTTAACCAGTTAAAAGTTTTCACTGCTTTGTTCCTGTTTTCAGTTCTGTGAAAAACATTGTTTATTTTCAGTTTTTGTTCCTGCCCTGTTCTGTTTTTAATCCCTGCACCAGACTGTTTAGTGTTATTCATGCTCTAACACAACGATTCATGATGGTTTTGGTAGTTTTGTAATGAGCCGGATCAGTTATATTTGAGCAGGAAGAACACTGCAGTGTGCAGTGCTGTGATTCTGAAGGACTGGAGCTGGACACCTCGCTTACAGGGCCTGTTTTAAACCTCATCTTCATCTCATCTCACCCTCCATGCATCCGTGTGTCCTCTTCAAATTCCCCAAAGCTGCCGAAGCCTTTGTCCTATCGCCTGTGCTGCAGTGTCGTTTCTTTCAGGCTATTGCACTGCGGTTTGTTCTGGCATGCAAAGTTAATCACTGCTTGAAGTATTAACCCTGCGGTCTTTTTGCCTGTCTCTGTCACACAGTCTGAGTCCAGTGATTTCACAGCAACAGAGGTTCCAAGGCACAGTGAATTAAAACTGTGTTGAAGAAATAGGGGTCAATATTGGTGAATAGTGAATAATGATGAAACATTAAATGTACACAGTTTTCCTCTTGTCAAAAATGTAGCAGATCAAAAAAGATATTCTTGGTGTCTGAAGTTTGCTTCTGTAGTTTTGTACTGACGCTATAAGGCTAATGTAGCTAAGCAGTAATGGAAACGCGGCTATGATGCAACACCAATTAGCATTGTGTAAACTGCATTTCTAAATCTTTACAAATTGGAATCAAACCAACTCACATTGTTACATAGCTTCAAATAGTCTTGCTCTGACACTTTATGACATACTTTTTCTGTGAAACTGGCCAAAACATACAGAAAAAATAGAGAAATCAGGAAGAATATTGTTTTCAGAAACCACATAAGTCTATTTGAGATTACTGAAAGGTACGCTATGTAAGTTGTGGGGATTTGGAGACCTCTCTCAAAACTTGGTGAAGGATGTTTTGAGTATGTAGGTGAATTATCTATGGGACCACTTTTCAATAAAATTAACCTTATAAAGGCTTATCAGTGGTTTCAAATTAGTTTATTAATGGTTATTAATAAGCATTTTTAACACATAAATAAAAATGACAATAGTGACGTTGCTTGCCTAATAGTTAATCCACATTTATTTACACAGTTAAAGCTCAGATGTTGCTGGCTACTGATCTCACTTTTGTCTTCTTACTTTTGTCATTCAGCATTAAACCTAAATTATTATTACAGGCTTTACAGGGTGACTCACAGCAGGACATGCAATCTTTTCTCCTGACTTAGTAATTGTATTTCTAGTTTTACTTCTTTTTCAGTTTTAACAAAAAAAAAATCTTATGAAGTGCAGCTTTAACAGCTCAGCATTCAGACAATACAGTGGGCACAGTCCTGATTGGTGGGTTATAAGCTTCTGTTCTTCTGTTCTTAGCTGCATTAGCTTTGTAGATCCAGTGCAAAACTAAAGAAGCAAACTTCAGACATGTCTTGGCTGATCAGCTTGGGGAAAATTCTGAACGTTTGATTTTTTTTTACCATTTGTGGTCTGCTGCCATCTTGTGGTCAAGCATGATACAACAGGAAAACTTCTGCCTTCAAAGGCTGTGTGACAGAGAGATGCTGATGAAGTGTAAAATTGCCTTGGATTCAATGTTTTCTATGTGGCTTAAAGGAAATATAGAAAACATCTGTTAAAAATGACGATGCCCACTCATCCTTCTCTATCTGCCAAAGTGGCAGTTACTGAGGAGGATCTGATCTTATGTTATAAAGCAGTTATTCTCACTTTTAAATCCTGAAATATCCTGTAGTTTATCCTATAGCTAGTACAAATTTCCTATAGCTAAATGCTGCTTCTCCTCCATCAATGCAAGCAGGAACCTTTAGAAGGAATCTGACCATAGATCTGTGTGTGTATTTTTGGTGACACTTTTGTTGAAGGACTCCAATTTAATCCAATTCAGTTCATAAAACTTGTCCTCCAGCTAAAGTGTTATGGGTTACTAGAAATGTGTGTGTGCTCTATACGTTGTTGCCTAGTGTGTGTTCTGTGAGTAAGACTAGTCTCTGTCCCTCTGCTTCTGCACCCCTCCCTCGGCATTGCTATCCTCTGCGTAGCTCCAAGGCAATGGTATGTACTAACACTAACTGCTATGCTTCTTACTTGCTGCTTCTGTCTTTTCCATGTTAGACACACCCACTAAAACTGAGGGGAAGTGATCAAAACACCAATGATTATTTCTAAAGATGGGCAGTTACACAGTGAAACAATGACAATGGTAAAGCTTTATCATAAGCTCACCTTATAAAGTATTAATAGGCCATTATTAGATGATGTGTCAACCATTTATTAATGTTTAAAATGTGCAAACCATTTGTACACTATTGGTAAAGAATTAACCCATATACAAACAAGTTTATAAATGAAGAGTAAAGTAATAAAACATTTATTATTTATTAAACATTTATTTACATTTATTTAATAATCATCTGTAACCCATTAAAAGGTCAGGACCCACCAAAAGGATGTGTAGCTTTTAAGAAGTCCTTACTAAGAAAAAAATAGACAAAAAATAAGAAAATTTACAAATTAAACAAAGAAGCTGCTGATGTTCTCAGAACAGTGAACTGACCACCCCAGAGTCCAGAGCTCAACATCACTGAATGTGTTTGGGATTATTTGGATTGTGAGAAAATGAATCCTTTGTATTTGGGTTATTCTTTGTAAATAGCTTAGAAATGTTGTAGCATTACATGGTTAATACATCATTTCATAATAGCTTATTAAAGCTTTATAAGGTGAGGATATAATGAAGCATTACCCCAGTGGCAATAAACATAAACAGTCTGTTTCAGGAATCAGTCTGTCAGGAATTTCATTGGTGTTTTCTCATTCTCTGTAGTAATAATAATCTGTGTTCTGTTCATCCCCCACTGTTAAAATACTTAGTCCTACAGTATTTTTAACATTTACCCGTAGTTGTTTGGAATGAACGATACTGTTTTTTCTGTGCAGGCAAAGAATAAAACACATAATAAACAGTAGATGTAAGATCAACACTATTGAATCTTTTAAGCTTGAAGCTTTAAACTGTCTCTATCTTCACACTTCCGCATCATAACAGGTTTCTCTGTTTTTCTCTGTCTTTTCCAATCTGAGATTTCTTTTCCCTTTTTCTGTGTGTGTGTGTGTGTGTGTGTGTGTGTGTGTGTTTGTGTGTGTGTATATACTAGGTTTGGGCGATTTACCGATATTATATTATTATATTGTCATCATGTCAACTTTTCTAACAATTGTATTTTTACATTGAGAAAGTTATTACTGCTTAATTCCACATGCACGTTTAATGGTGCAACAAAAGCCATCCCTGAGTCAGATTGAGATTCATCTAACTATTAATGAAGTGTCATGAGAAGCGCCGAGTACAGATATGAAAGATTACAGTGGACTAAGTGTACGAAGAAACTACAAGATTAATTCCAAAAGAAAATGGTTGGTTCCTTTAAAGATATTTAAAGAGGGATTGCATAATTTAATGAAATGTAAACAAAATCATTCAGAGTGGTCTACATGTGGTCATCCTTAAGTAATGCTGATGATAAAATAGTGGAAAATGTGGGAAGAAAATTTTGTTTTCTTTGAGGACTATTGCATGTATATGTCTGCCATGGATGTGTTTTTAAAAATAAATTTAGACCAAAGCTCATCTCAAAATTATGATACAACAATGTCTCAGGCAGCAGGCAGTGTATTCATAAACATATAATGTAATAACTTTCTGTGATGTTGCTTTTGGTGGCATTAAACTCTACAGACATCTGGTTCCTATCACCATCTTTGTGAACAGTTCTGACTTAGAACTGAAGATTTCACATGAACCATGAATCCACTCTGAATGAATTAACACCACGACTATGCAGACAATTTTTAAAATTTGGTGGAATTCTCGTTTCCTAAGTCGTTTTCTATCAGTTTATGGTTTAAAAGAAGTACTTTAAAAAGAAAAAAATCGCCCAACCCTACTGTATATATGCATGCACATGCATGCACACTGAGCTGACCTCTCTGTCTTTGTCCCTGTAGAACACAGCTCTAGATAAGGAAAAGCTCCAGCTGTCCCGCCGTGCTCAGGACAACAGCACCGCCCCACCCACCAAAAGCTCTGCCCCGTCCCAGCCTGAAGGGGAAGGAGGGAGGAGACGGAGACGCTCGGGGAGGAGACGGCCCTCAGCCCTGTCCGACGACTCCAAAGCCTCCAGAGCTACTCCGGTTCAGGCTCTCCCCACCCCCGAGTCCTCTGAAACAGCCGGCACACTCCCCTCACCCTCCCCCGCCCCACCCATCACTCCTCAGTGCAGCGAAGATGCTAGCTGTGCCCAGGGCTTCCAGAGGGAGGAATAGCTCTGCTTAAACAACACTGAGAGGAAGGAAGAAAAAACAACTGCACATGTTCCATCAATTTTAAATCCGCTCCAGCTTTTGGCTCTGGAGCCATTGATTTCTTGCAAATAAGTGTTCACTCCCAATCCTGTAGGGCCAGCAGCTCCAGCACACCTATTTATAAATAGAGATGGGCATAGTTGAGGGAATTACTAATCGTATTTTACTTAACTGGGTACATAAATAAGATAGTTTGAGAAGGAAAAAAATGTAAGATCTTGTATCTTATGAAACATGTAATTACTTAATATCAACTGAGCGTACAACAAAGAACCACAGACATATCTGTAAATACTTCAGGTTATGAATATGTCATTTATTATTCTGTAGGCCAACTTGTAGTTGTAGAACATTCCTTGCTAAAACCACAGTTTAATATGTTGGCTGTTGTGTCATGTAGCATTCTGTAGCACTGCATTGTATCCCTCAGCCTCATCGGTTTGACAGAATTTACGATTGTTTTCATTTTCATCAGTGTTCTCTCACTGCAATACCCAGCATGCATTATGCATATCATACAACCATTTGGAATTCCTGCGGTGCTGCACCAATCCTGATTGCTAGCATAGCCACTGACTAGGCTAATATATACAACCAAGCTAGCATTTACCTATCTCTTTCCTCGTTTGTCGAACAAAATTGTAAAGAAAACATTGATTTGATGTTTATTTAGCACAAAGTAGACTCCCAAGACAGGTTTTTTTGTCTTTTCAGCCAGAAAAAAGAATCTAAACTGAAGTAAGATATCTAGATGGCCAGGTAGCTAGCTTTATCCATTAGCAGAAACATTAGCTAGCTTCCTTTTACATTCACCAGCTAACAAAAAAGACTTTTCAAACAGCCTGCCCCCAAATATCTACCCCAAAGCAGTTGTAGATTTTCAAAAGTTTCTCCCATCTTCAAGATAGATCATCAGACAGGGGTTCTTCCATTCTTTAAGCTGAAAAATCACCTGCAGCAGGTAGGCATGTTTACCACAGATGTAGCTTTGGTTACATTTTTTTTATTTTGGCCTCAGTGCCCCTTTAAATCATATACACCTAAAATACGAATACGTCTCTAAATCATCCAAAACATTCAAGTACATATCATCTCTTAAGCTAGCTGTGCTCAATAAATGTTTTTTTTTTTTTCCATAGTGAAGTAAAATATTTTCTTGTTGAGATATCGAAATACTATGACTACTGATAAGCTATTATTACTATTACTGTCTGCTTAAAAATGTGCATTTTTGAATAGCAGATGTGGTTACAATGTCCATCCTTTTCCACTAAGGGCTGAATAAAGGGTCATTTGAATTAGGTGTACTGGAAAAGGAAAAAACTCTGTGGCCCTACAGGATTGTGAATAAACACCCTGGTCAAAAGTCTTTATTATGGCTCCCCCTTTTGTTTCCATTGTCTCCAGCTGTGCTTGGGCCCCTTGTATCGCTGCTTCCAGGGGGAGAAGGAAGGGTGGGTTTTGTATGTCTAATTGATTGTATATATGTAAATGTGTGTATTGAAGGATGTCCCTCTGCCTGTTTAGCGACCCTTTGTTAGAGTATTTTGTATTTGTATTATTTATTGTGGCTTGATTGGCACATGAGTGACTGTATTAATCATGATCATGAATAGACAGTGTGTGTATGCGTGTGGACAGCTGCTGCTGGATTTGAGACGGACTAGTAGATGAACGTGAGTGTTTTTTAAAACCTATCAGCAAACTTGTCCTGTTGAAACTTGAAAGCGAGTTTTATTTTTTCTGCCGAGTGTAGTTTTGATGACCAGTTGATTGACTGACTCTTTTGACTCAGTGACCATGTACCATAGGAGATGAATTGTTTGCCTTTGAATGGTGCAAAGGGCTGAATATGGATTTGTTAGGAGGTGGTGCCTCACCCTACAGAAACTTGCTGTAATTTTGCAGTAGATTAGTTGCAATGCCTTCGTGTGACTTCACATCAAGGTATTGTTAAAGGGTAGTTTCACCAATCTTTCAAAATCTCAAAATAATTAAATTATTAAGAAGCAAAGTCAGTCAGAGAGCTTTTAATGTGAAATGCTTCTTTCTAGAGAAACATGCCAAGACAAAATCATGTTTATTGCCTCTAAAAGTAACCTCAAAGAAGGCTTTTGTGTGAAATGTTTATGAATATGCTGCCTGATGTCTGAGACATTGCTTACCAGTAGTTTTACAGTAAGGCGCTAACATAACATTTCTGTTTTTTTTTAAATACTTTCATGGCGAAGAGGTACATGGAAACTATTGTAAGAAAATATGCAAGAAAGTGTATTTTTGTGGATTCACCACGATTTTACAATTATCTACATATTAAAACTCAGAAGACATGTAAAGGTTCATTTGGGATAGTAAATTAAATGGCAATATTTGCATTGTGACCCCTGGTTTCTACCACCACTGTAAGTAGTTATTAAGTTTCTCTACAAAGAACCATTTCACATCAAACCACTCTGAACAACTTTACATCTCAATGATTAATTATGCTAAAATTTTGAAAAATTGGTAGAATTTCTTTCTCATAGCCCTCTTTTTTTGCTAATATATTTTAAAAAGATGCAAACTTTGTCCTGTTAGGCTCATATATTACTCTGAGTTGAGAATGTATGTTTCCGTTAGTGAGTTCTACAAAATATTGGTTTTCTGGATAAACAAACAAAAACTGCTGCATGATTTACTACTAGTATCTGTTCATAAAGATATAACACACACACAATAACACGCCTGTATTAGGGTAACACTTGCATTTAGCACAGTGTCCTGTGTATTAGTTCAGCTGTTGTTAAAATACTTACGCACTGCAATACAGTTCCAGTTATTCATCTTTCAAAACACAAAAGTATAATCTCTTTGAATGATTTAGCATGTTCTCATTTTAGATTTCTGTGTCATCTCTGCAGGCTAGACGTCTTGTGTTTTAACTTCAAGTCACTTTACGTTAGGGAGTTGTCAAACGAGTGGAAGGTGAAATACAATAAAGTTCTCATTGTAGTTGTTTATCCTGTATTTTAATTTTGGTTGCCATTGCGTCTTATATCGTCTCCTTTCTTTATTGCTGGACTTGCCAGACTTCTACGGCAGCATGTGCAGAATTACATTTAATAGGTTTTTAAAAGGAAGGCAAACTGGGGACACAAAGAACAGAAAACAATACAAAAGAATGCAAAAAAGGATATAAACAAGGGATTATTATGAAGTTACAATAGGCAGCATGCAGAACTAATGGATCAATAAATAATAGATGAAGCAAGAAATGAAGAGGGGTGCAAAGAGTACCAAGAATTCCTACATGAGTACTGCCACTGCAGTGATAATTCCTTTGAATGCCTTTGAATCACTTTGAGTTACTTTTGGTTAATATTCACCATACAAAAAGGTTCTGCTCAAGGTTCCACCTGGTTGAATGGCTATCTAAGCCAAATATAAATTAAATTAAATTAAATTAAATAAAAAGAAAATAGTTATATGAGTTAGTTACTTAGCTAAAATTCACAGACTTGGTTATACTATGCTATACAAATTAAAGTCGCTAAATGCTTTATTAGAAACAAACTGAAGAAAAATGAAAGTGATCAAGATTTAATTATACTAAAAGAAGTACTGATTATGGGCAAAACAGACTGACTACTTTCCACCACTAAGTAGGAATAATTTAAGTAACCTTTTACTAAATTCTGTTGCCATATGGCAACAGTATTTATTTATTTATTTCTTTTTGGCCTGACTACAATATAAAAGTTTTTTATTTGCTTTTAGGAGACCGAAGGCCTTGTGTGAAATGATATTGGCCCACTTTTTTTTCTGATCACATGCCTTCCTGTTGCAGTCTGTACTTCTTTTTTTCACATGTGTACGCATCACATGGTGTGGCCTGGCTTCTGTTACCCTCTAAAAGTGTGTATATGATTCAATATTTATACACAGCAACTTTTAAAATTAAACACAACTGGTGGGAGTTTACAACATTGTTTTCATAAAAGCTGTTTAGATGCTATATATTGTTACATATAACAATGAAATCTAAATGTTGTCATATGGCAACAACAATGGAACTTCAATCTGCAATGTATACTATGGGGATTAATGAATATAGTGCCATATGACACATTGGACATGACTATTTTCATACTGTTTTTGAAATTCTAAGCTATTTTATGTTTTCTTTCATATTTCAAGAAGCACTTCATGGAACTGATTTATAACTCTCTCTCTCACTCAATCATGTTTAGCAGACAAAAATTCTCAACACAGGGTTGCAGTGGTGTGATTAGCTGACAAATAGCTTTGATGTTTCATGTGAGCAGAACTTTATTACTTTTATTACTTTATTAAAAGTATTATTCAAACACCTTTCTGTAACCTTAAAACATTTATGTATAGATAGATAGATGTTATGCTGTTGGTCGTTTTCATGCCTGGATCATAACTACAGCCATGTCCTCTAGCAGTGTATTGGTTTAATCCCAATGGCCCTTATTCATTAAAGTTGCATAAAAAAGCAATGAAACATTTGCAGAAACAAGTGGAGATTTGAGCTCAAATGATGAATCTGCTCCAGTGCATAAAATCAAGCGCCAGCCTACCAATGACTCATTTTTTTTACCCCGTGATCTAATTCATGCAGATGTTTCAGTAGGGAACCCATGGCTGTGCTCGTAGTCGGAGTTTGAGGGTAAGCAGTAAGTGCACCACTCCCCCTACTGACCAAAATTTAAGTGTTAAAATTACAATGACTGGAAAGGATAAATGTGAAATAAACAAAACATTGTATCTTTTTTAAATGATATAATTATGTAGATTGTTTTCTAAAATGTCATATTTAAACACAGTTTAGTTTTCACAGCTGTGAAAATTCTTAGTATTATTGTTCATTTCTTGGTATTATAGATGACACTGATTACAGTTTTGGTTTGTGAACCGCAAATCAAGCATTTTTCCAGAGTGTTAAACTATTATGGTTAAATTAACAGTCCTATAGGTAAACCAGAAGTGAGTCTTGTGTTGGTAAAAGCTTGTGCTAATTTTACAATCAAATATGACTGTACGCAACTTTGATGAATAAGGGCCTGTGTGCATTGCAGATTGCAGTTCCATTGTCAAATGATGTCACATAGCAACAATTTTAAAATATATACTGATTTTGTCATTTTCAACAAGAAAAATCACAAAAAATATTTTCCATGTGAGTTACATAACCCATGCAGTAAAAAGAGAAATATACTAGGTTCAGAGGGGCATCTATATTTGCCAGAATCAGAATTTCATTTTAAAGACTTTATTAATCAGTCATCAAAAGATTTAATATATCATATAATATTTAAGTGTATCTGCCCTACAGTCATGTAGTCCATCTGGTCTGCACAGATTCATGTTCTCCAGCTTTAACACACCTAATGTAGCACCAAACTGACTTAATCATTAGCTAATGATGTGGCTCAGGTGCAGGAAAACATGAACATGTGCAATGCAGGTGGACTACAGGCCTGGTGCTGTGAAAAACAGACTCTACCCTTCAGCGTGATAACTGCCTTCTAAAAACTTTAGAGACAAGGGAAGCTGGTTTACAGAATTAATGTAATGTTCAGATGCCACTCCTCGAACATCATCGTCTCTGAAAACAAATTCAAATTTTCAGAAACCGTGTTTTTCTCAAGTGAGGAAGCCTCATAATGAAACTTTCATCAAAAGCATCTACAGTGTTCTTTCTCTGGTTGGATAACACAGAACTCACCATTTACTCGCTGATAGCTCTCCACTGAGGTTTCTGACCAGTAAAATAGACTTAAAGGTGACATTACATTGCCCTTTCTTACCGTTAGCATTGACTGGAAGTATACTAAAAGGAGACTTTGTTTTACAGTAACAAAGAAGAATCTAAAGTAGGGTTGTTGCAGTTTTTTCTTCTTACCTTTAGTAATCAATTAAAAATAATGAAAATACAGTGAAAGAAGGCTTTAATACTTTATACTTTTCAGCATGTTTGGTGATGTGTATGTAGGTGGAGGCACTGCCCAATCCCAAAGGTTATGCAATTCTATGGCTCCTAGATGTTTTGTAAATAAACAATATCATAATCATAAAAGAGCAATGATTGGAAAAAATAATACATACACAATGACTGGAGTGCTGTATGCTATATTGAACATATACAGGCATTCATGTTTGCGTAGTATAAAATATAAAATCGAAACTCATCTTTAACTACAATTTCGACGCAGACGAAAAATACATTTCCCATGATTCCTCGGCCATGCTGACGCCAGTGCGTAAGGGCGTAAACTCTTGTTGAGTTGGCCATATTGGAATGTGAAGCTCCGGCAGCGCTCGGATTTTATCTGGAAAAAGCAGAAAAATACACTTCAATCTCGACCGTACAAAACGAGTAAAACCCTGACATCCCAGCTGACACCACGCCTTTTGTGGAAGGACAGCTGTCTGTGTCATTTGTGCGGAAAAAAACATAAACATGAGCCCTACCGATGCGAAGCGGGGAGCCAAGCGGAGGAAGAATAAGCGGGGCGCCGGCGGAGGCAGCAGCAGCGGCGCTAGCAGTACCACAGGAAAGGCCGGGGCTCAGAGTGCGGCCCGGGCCACTGCAGCCGCGGCGACTCCCTCCTCCAGCACGGGCTTTCTCACCACTGGGAACGTAGACTCCAGCATGAACGGAGAGGTCAGTGTTGTGTGGTCATCGACAGAGATCATGATATTTGTAGTCAGCCGGCTGGTCTGAGCTTTAAAGGCTGAGCTAGCTTAGTTAGCTTTTAGCGAAATGGCAGGCTGGCCTGAGCCTGTTAGCTTCAGTTAAGCGCACTTAATCTCTCTCTTCACAAAATAACCAACTAGTTTTTGTCTCTTTTGACTAAAAAAGCGGGTAGCAAATGTAACGAGAGCATAGAGGTGATAGTAGTCTTCAGTGTTTGTATACTACTGATAGAATAACCGGCTGCCAGTAGCTGTTGACACTCCTGCTAACCTGTTTAATTTAGCTTAGTGTATTAACGTAGGTGGCCAGCAAGCTCACAGTCATCATGAGGGTAATGTTTACAGGTGTGTGCACCCTAACCAGTTCAATGTTTTTCACTCTAGGCATGTCACACACAAGGTGTTTGAATGCTAGGGAGTTAGCTAAGTCTCAACAGGAGGCAGAAAGATGCACTGCAGATAGATCTGCGGACGGCAGATGAAGGCCTCCTCCTCCTCCTTCTCCTCTCTTCTTGTCTTTGTCTTAGATTCTTCAGACACATCTGGGTTAGCTATTTGATAGTTCAGAGATGTTTCATATTCTCTCTTAAATGACAGAGCTCAGTGGCCTGACTAGTTTGTCTGTGTAGTGGGCAAACAAGAGGTCTTTAGTGTGAATCAGATTAGATGGCCAAGTTTAGTTTTTGGGTGACATTATTTACTAGGCAGGTCAGTGGCTTGGCCTTGTGGTGCACATTTGAGTGTTACTTGATTTAATCTCTCCTACTAGCTTGCACCATGTGTTTGTCATATGGGCTCTTTCATAAAGCAGGATTTCTCAGTAAAGCTGGTTAGCTTGAGACACGAGTACTGACTGTCCAGGGGGACACCTTTCTCCTATTGGCTTGACTTTAGACTCAAATTATCTGGCTAACTGAGAAATCCTGCTTTGTGAAACACCTCCCAGGTGCATGTTATAGAGATGTTTACATGCATATGTGCATGTTATGATACAGTAATGCGACACTTTAGATGTCCAGCTGCCGGTAAGGATGTGTCTTGCATTCTATCTGGAAGTGTTGCCAAGGAAACAACATCTGTAGCTGAAGAGGACTATTATGTTGACTTAAGAAAAGGATGAGCGCTGATACCTTGGCCTGATGTTAACCGGTGAACTATGGCCCTTTTTATTTGCATATGTATTTGTCACAAGGACTAAATAACGCAGCTTGAATGAAAGGCATATTGTCTAATTGAATCCAGGTCCAGTGACAGTTTCAGAATATATTCTCCCAGTTTGACCTGCATGGTTTTTC